AGAGCGTAGGAAATACCTTGTATACCGCCTTAAGGGCGATTGGGGATTCAGGGACCCAATCGCCAAATCCTGGTGGCGACGTATAATTGACCAGTACTTTTTAGTTCTGCGCCACTAGCAGAGTCATTAGGTTTTTTTTGGGGGGGGGGAGCAGAAGACGTGAAAAATATGCAGTGCTCTCACCGGGACTGGAAACCTAGACCACTCGAATACTCAGCGAATATGCTTCCAATTACACCTCGAAGGCATGCGAAAAAAGAGGAAGAAAATACTTATAAAGGAACCCCCTATATGAAGGTTTCTGTCTTCTTCACCTCGATACATGTGTAAGGATCTTAAGTTTTACTAACGTTTATTTTATTTTAAATCTTTACTATCACTTCTTATTTTCTACTTCCGGCCAGAATTAAAAGCTTTAACTTATTTATGCAAATTTGTTGGCGAACGCCAAGTACTTAAGTTGTGGCTTTTTGCCAAGCAAGAGAGAGGAAGGAGTTAGTAGAAGCAGGCCGCTTGCCTTAGCAGTTTTACTCGGTTGCTGGTTGCCTTCCAGGCCAGAGGTTTAATCCTCTTGAAAATTTTAAACGTATTGTAGTGTTAACAGTTCTCTGTACTACATACGGCTTCCTGTTAATATACGGCCAATCTTCTACGTAGGCCCTTGTTTATTATTCCAAAGTTAAGGTAGAGTTTAGTTAATATTTTTATATTCTTACGTTCAGACCACAAGTGGTTGGTCTCTGTATTCCGAAGTCCGGAAATTATTGTAAAGAGTGAAAAAATAAAGGGTTTCGTATACCCTTCCTGTGTATCTTGTCTACTTCCCACAGTTATTGAACATACCTTTAGTAAGCTCCCTGTTCCGAGTCAGGTTCTTGAATGTTCCCAAAGCAAGTAAGGAGAAACACTGAACCTGATACATGTTCCAGCACCTTTATGAAGAATCATTAAGAAACTTACGCCTTTGACCCTTCTTTTTACATTCTAAGCTAATCTCCTAGACTGAATAGCCTTTTCATAGGAATGGTGGACTTGTAGAGTAATTAGGATTTTTTTAGGGGCAGAAAAGATGAAAAATTAGCACCCGCCTTCGCCGAGAATCGAACCACGGACCTCTTGAATTCCGGCCCAGCGTGCTACCGTTACACCACGAAGGTACGCTAGGGAAATGGGAGAAATACCTTATAGACTCAGTAAGAAAACTTATTGTATGTAAGATAAAAAAAATATGTAGATCAAAATTATAATTTAAGCTAACGGGTAAACTCTTTAATTCTTCCTCTCTGTTTTAAAAATCGTAATACCTTCTCTGTATTGCATAATTTCTAGATAATTCTATTTTACATGGCCTGCGCAACACACGCTAATGACGTAATAATTGGGAACTGAAACTTTAAACCAAAACCTTTCTCTTCGTGTGCTTCCATCTTGCACAACTACGCACTTCAGCTTCGCTCTCTACCCTGCTAGGATGTAACTTCGCTGTCTTGCTTGCTGTTGCAATAATATCAAAAATATAAATGTTCTGTAAAAAGACACGGCTGGAGTGCCAAGTGAGCTGCGGCCACAAAAGTCAGTTGCAAATAAAAAATGGAATTAAAACTGCCTCGACTGCCAAGTTTCTTAGATATAATGAACTTTCCATTATTAGCATACTACGCAATCAGAATGCTTCTTCTTCAATATGGTTCGACGATCTGCCTTCCCTGGGTATTACGCATCAACAGTGTTGCGGCTTTTGCTTGATTTTATTATGTCATATATACACTATTAGTTTAAAATAATGAAAATATTTACATATTTGTTACTAATTGCACTAACAATAGTTTTGAAATAACAGCTACGTAGGCGATTATTACTAATTGTATTTTGATGGAACTTTACAATCTGGTCAGAATAATTTGTAAATAATATTGCAAAAATATTGCGAACGTTTATAGACCAAAGCTGCCCCAATTTTTGTTTGACCGTGTGCTCCTTTCTTTCGCCTTCACAGTAACGTCACAATGTACTAAGACTTCGAAAAAGTGCAAAATAATAATCTAATACAATGTAACTAACTGAGGGATAAGCTTCAGAATAAAAGGCATGATCGATGTTTAGCCAGATGTGGTTTTTCTATGTTTCACAATGCTAGAGTAATTAGTCTCAAGAATGCGAAATGAATTCTATAATATAATACTAACAGATTAATATTATTACAGTGCAATTAGATAAAAATTAACTTTTATAATGAAGCAAGAGAACATTAACTACCTTCATAAACATAACACGATAAAATCACGTTTACTATAAGCTTAAAAGATAGAAACTTCCTGAAAATGATTTTTAAACCACGTTACCATAGAAACCTAAGTAGAGCACTAATTATCTTCTGTTTAGATACTTGAAGAAAAATAAAATATCTTTAAACAGATCGATACTCAAACACGTAATTCTTTGACTAAGACTAATAAAACAGGAACCACAGGGGATTTAATTTCTAGGTTAAAGAAGCTAATGAGGCTAATTACGGATGTTTTTCCATTTGTTAGTTAGATTTCGAAAGAAAATTTAATGAAAATTTCAAATGCGAATTTTTCCCCCTGAATGATTGTAAAAGATTATACGACAGAAAAAAAATCTCGTTTTTGATAATATCACAAACGTATTCCTTCTTTAATCCTTATTTATGTACATTTTTCGAATTGCCTGTTTACGAAATATAAAATTCAAAAGTCTGAAATTTTACGAGCTATATATTAATTGAAATAAATTCAAGAAGATAATTTTATTCTGAGTTAATGAATTTAATTCTTTAATACTTTTTAATAATTATTTTCTAACAAGAATATTAGCTATTTCTAATTCATTACAGTGAAAATTTATAAATTATCATTATATATCGATCAAAGCAAGCTAATTTCACAACTGTAACTGGTGGTTAAATATTATTGCTACAAAGCAGGACTCTTTCTCTTCCGATTGCCCTGAAACTTTTCTTCTTTGGCTATCCTTGTTTCCAATAAAGTTGTATACTACATAGACGTTAATTTTCTTGATGGGTTGGCTACACAGACTACAGATGTGAATAAATTCGTGTAGTAATATAAGTTTATTTAAATGTAACAGAACATGCGCAAAGGAATTAAGAAACCTTTTTTTCTCACTTGCTAAAACGCTTTAAGCATTTTCATATAGTGTTACGAAATGTACAGGCGCGGTAAGATGGCTTCCCCGCAAAGTAGTTTTAGGGTTGCCTTAAAATGGAAAGAGAAGGCAGAGTTGTCACATTTGGCGAGAAATCGCACATTTGGTGACGTAACAATATTAAAAACTACATATCTATAAAAGTAACATAGTACTATATATTGCATTCCGGAAAAAAAAAAAAAAAAAAAAAAAAAAAACACTGCTGTAGTTCAAAATAACTGTTCTTAATTTAAATACTTCTGTAGTTAATGACTAAAAGCCCATCACCGGCGCAGAAGTAAAGTCGCTGAACACTATTAGTTCGAAGAACGGGCAAGCTAGCTGCATGGGCACTTTCGTGTTTTCGTCATGCGTAACGTGGATACGAGATAGTTTCCATTAGAAAGCCCTCCACTAAATCGTCCCTCTTCTTAGGCAGATAGTCCTAGGGTGCTTCGCCCTAATCCAGTAAAGCCAATTGTTTTCACAGACAGACAGATTAGCATTGAATTTTTGTGAATTAAAGCTAAATGGCCTTAAAGATCTCAAAAGGAACCCTAAACAAACTTTTTCCCTAAAATTATCACTACGAGCAAAATGTTTTAGTACATGTTAAAACAATTACAATTTATTCTATACAACATTTCGAACAAAATTGTGTGTCTCATATTTTACTGCATATTCTCAGTGGCTTGGATCAAAGTTTCCTCGACTGAACGTTTTGGCTCAACAGAAGAGTATTCTGTCCTTTTAGCATCACCTATATGATTACTTTTCGGAGTTTCTATTATGCACATTGCCTAAAACACAAACTAAAAGATGTCTCAATATACCAGAGTATCACTTATCAGTTATCCGAAGGATCCACATGTGAAAACTCTCTTTGAATATCTTCATGCACACAATAGAGAACACATATACATATACTGACTACGAATGATAAAATCTGATTCTTTTAAAACTTATTATTCATTACGTTTCTTATGACTTCAGCATGAAATTATGTTCCTCTTTTACAAACATTCTGAGTTATAACATTTGGCATTAATGTAGTACGATAGTTACGATAGACATCTTAAAAGAAGAAATATTCTGTACAATTCAATGCCCATAAAGAACTAGACCATAATTCATACTCTAAGTTTTTAAAACTCCTTATATCTGTACTTCAACATCACAAAAGAAGTTTGTAAAAGATAGCTTAATTCTATAATTTTCACTTCTCTCGCTCTCTCTTTATCTTTATTTTCTCCTTTTACAGTTTAGCAGAACGGTAGTAGAGGAAAGAATGAAATAGTTTGCTACCATTTAAAAAAAATTAATTTTGTTATATAAAGAGACTTTTACATTTATATTTTAAATGGCATAAACAAAAAACAATAAAATGAGGATTCGTCGTAAAAACGAAAAAGAGAAATGAAGTGCAAACGTGATGGGTTAAATTCAGGTAATGAATGGACAGCTTAACTTTGCTGGCTGAACTCAAAGATAATTTAAACATGAATGCATCAAAGGATTTATTAAGCATAAACATTATGTCGTCTGCTGTCAAAGGACTACTTAAATTAGTGAATACATACTCTGTAGTAATATTAGTATACATTATTTTAAAATTAAGAAAATCTTGAATTACATCTATATAATGCTTTTAAAGATTATTCTTTAAATTTTAAACATTTAAAATAATTAAGTATGAAGATAAATCCATAATTTTACCAAACAATGTTTGCCTTGATTTACTTAAATTATTGAAGTTATATGTATTTATAACAGTTACAAAGCAAATTAATTTCTCAAAGTACTAGAATATATTGGTTTTTCATGCTTACCCAGTTTTGGCAAAATTTGCCCAATACCGCATCATTCTCCGGCTGAGCTGCTCTTCTGCTTTGGTATAACCAAAAGTAGGGTTTAGAGGTTCGCCGAAAATGAAATTGATCTCGTCCGCATGCATCACACCCATCCAGCGCGGCCACAGGTGGATGCTGGAGCGATGAGAGAAAAAGTACATGTACACATCATTCCCTGTCTCTGCATATCTCAGTGCAATCTCATTCACGCTGCAGGTGAACTGATAATCACCTACAATTTTATCGATAGCGTCTCTGTTCTTGATAGTGTCGTAAGGATTCTCCCAGTCTGTATACTGGAAGATGATCGCCTCTTGTGCCAGTTCTCCAACATAAGGATTGAGTTCTTTCACAGCATGGATAAATTCTTGCCTATTTATGTATACATCCTCCTGATTCTTAAAGTAGTCTGTCAGATAATACACAATGAAGTAAGTACCTTCCTCAGAATTACTCCCAGTCATGATATTGGTCTTCTTGAAATTTTTGGTGGCTAGTGATTGTGCAGGAGTCTCGTCCAGAAAAGCACCATCCACTACAGGGGCGAAGGGAAATTCAACCACTCCGTAATTACCCCATTCATTACTAACCATTTCGAAGGGATCTTTTCTCAACAGGCAATCAACAACAGCGTCCATGTTGTCTGAATCATGAGGGCACTTGAGAGCCTCTGCTAGCAGCAAGCCCCTTCGCATATTTTCTTTCCTGTCCATGATGCCCCAAGGTGACGTGGCTGACCCACTTTGCATAATTGCTTGACTAAATAAATTTCTACTTAGTGGGGACAGCAGATGCAGACCGACGCTGACAGCTCCGGCGCTTTCTCCAAAGAGTGTTACGTTATGAGGGTTACCACCAAAATAGCCGATGTTGTCTCGAATCCATTCCAGTCCCATGAGTTGATCAAACATACCAGCATTCCCTGGAACGTCTGGTCGATCGAAGTAAAGGAACCCTAGAGAGGCCACTCTGTAGTTGATTGAGACGATGATGATCTCTTCCTCGGAGCAAAGAATTTTTGGATCGTAGACATCTAGTGTTGTTGTACCACTGTAAAAGCCACCACCATAGAACCAAACCAATACAGCAGCACCTACAACGAAAACGTAAATATGTAATTATATTTATTTCACATAAGCATTTTCATTGTATTTTTTGTCATTTAAAATAAAATTCCCTGGATGTCTCAGAATTTTTTTATCAGTTAAAAAAAGACATTTTCCCATTCAGTTAGTACACATTTTTTACACATAATGCAAAAAAAAAAAAAAAAAAAAAAAAATTATAATTTTTTTCTATTGAAATGTATGGTTTTATTTTTAATGTTTTTAAAAGTTAATTATACAGAAAATTAATAGATATTAACATATATAAAATTACGTGCGTAGATATTCCAATAAAAATATTATAATGCTTACATGTAGCAGCACAATCGATAATTTTAAAACAAAAACGAGGCTTAATTGTTTTATAAATGAACTTTATAAATTAGTTTAAAAATTTACTACACTTCGGTTCATTTTATCATGCAGCGAATACAGCTATAGAGGATTAAACCAATTTTTCTCCTCCACGTTTAGTTTTAAAAAAACCTCGTCGTTGATATCCTTAATGGTGTGGTGTGGTGTATTTAATTATGGCAAAGCACACGAGGGCTATCTGCCTAAGGGGAGGAATGCCTTTCGTGGAGGACTTTCTAAGGGAAACTGGCTCGTATGCACGTTACACATGGGGAAAACCACGAAAACACCCATGCAGCCAGCCCGTTCGCGGGATTCGAACCTCGGACCGAACTACCAGTGTTCAGCGACTTTACCGCTCGGCCGCTGGTGGGCTGATATCCTTAATGACATTTCTTAATGTGCATAACACTACTAATGCTTACTAGTGTTCTTCTCAAAATAATCATTTTACCTAAAACTGCTGTTCAGTTTTGTTAAAATATAATTCATCAAAGAAAATTATATCGACTACAAACTAATATGTCTTTAGCACACGTTCTTTATTTTACGACAGCAAGTTAGCATGTATATTACCATCTCAAATTACATAAAACATTTCATGTTATACAAAAGAAAATTTTAAACAATTTTTTTAAACTTTAAGATATTGGTAGATAAAGGAATTTTGTTACGAATTATGTATACCAACAGATACTTTTTGTAAAATTATATGTGAAATTGTTGCATTTTTTTTTTTTTTTTTTTTTCTGTATAAAGAATGTAAGCTGAAAAAGCTATAAGCTGAAAAAGAGATATTCTGCTCGAAAAATAAGAATACAGGGGCAAGTCTATTTAACATTGAGTAAAAGGCTATTTCAATAATTTGGCGAGAAATCGCCAACACTCGCCAAACTTGAAGACTATATGGCGACATTTTGGTCCGATCTTTGTATCACCGTTATAGATATAATGATTGAACAACCGTAATTAATTTCATACGTAATTGTAAATGTATCCAGCCCTCACAAGCCTTACAGCCATTTCAAGAAGCAGAAAGTACTAGAAATATCTCGATGGCCGGGTGAAAACTACATAACGCCGGAGAGATCATTTGACCTCAGTTGTTGTTCCTTTGAGCAGCTCAGCTTGAATTCAGAGTACTGGGATATCTCCGGATAAGCTTTGCTCTTTAGATGAGCTCTGCATAGCGTTGTGTTCAACGTTCCTAATAGTTTGAAGTGTAACTGCTGATTGTGCTTTTTGATACTGTGAAGAACTATACCAGGATTTCTATGGAAAGTTCCAGACCTTTTAAGTGTTTCTTTTGATTAAATAAATTTTATTAACCTATCATCGGACCTGTGTGCATTCAATCTATTACGAACACTTACGCACGCAAAAGTACATTACCTATTTCACATCTCATTTGAATTAATGATCTTGTTTATGCTTAAATTACCTTTGCTGCTTTTATCAACTGATGATTGGTACTCATTTATGAAGTACTGGTACTCAGTCAGAGATTGGTATGAAAGTAAGTTATCTTAGTATTAAAAAAATGCCTGGCTAGTGATGGAATTGGGTGCGAATGGTTTCTGCGTCAAAAGTTTTTAACTGAATTGGTTTTATTATGGCAAAGACCTAACCACAAAACCTGCATAAGGAGAAGGGATGTCTTTATGGACGTTTCAGACATAAAGGTAACTGGTTCGAGGTAAGTGGCAGATAACTGCCTCATGTTAAATATGGGTAAGGCTACGAAAACGCCAGCTCAAACCATACAGCCAGCTCATTCACTGGGATGTTAACCGATGTCGAACTGCAGATCCAGTGGTCTTACCCGTTTGACCGCTAATCGACCTTTTGGCTAAGGAACAGCGCTTTTGTATAACGTAAATGACCAAATATTAAATGACTGGCAAAAACGTCAAAAGGGAAAAAATCATGAAAACGCCTATTTTGTCAGTATAATGCAAACTAAAGATTTCAGCAATGAAAAGAACTTAGAAGTCCAGCTTTTACTTTCTATGCAGCCTTTGGTTTAAAACCTTTCTTTTCAGTCTTTTTTAAGCTGCTTTTTATTTTAAGTGGCTGTTTATATGGCAAGGTTTTGAAGTCTTGAATTTTAAATCGGTGACAGACTTGAAAAAAAAAATAACTAAAATCAATAACTTTATTTTAGAATATTTCTAGAAAGCTCGCTCATTAATATATGGAAAATATCTGACAATTCAAACACAAAGAGTACTTCATACAACTTATTAGATTTAATTATGGTGGATACTAAGCAAAGCATTTTGTTTTACAGAAGCCTCGAAATGTAGCCCAGATACTATTTTCACATTATTTTAAGAAATTTTTGAAATGGAAGTGCATATCCAGAATCAATTTTAAGAAATTAAAACTCTTAATAATATTTTTCTAGCACCTTCCACATTACAGGAAAAACAAGTTCTAAAATACACTTGCAATAATTCACTGAAATGGCGATGTGCTCAAAAAGCATATGCACAGGCATTATTGGAAAAAAATCATATTTTTTATTATAAATCTAATTAAAATTTTCTCTTTAAAACTTCACTTGTCCTCTCATCAAATATTTACATAATTAAACTTTGTTTCTTCAGCATTTCCTATAAAAGACTGAATGGAAGTTTATTTAGCAGTTTATTTTAGAGCTGCCTCAAATCCACTTATTTCATACAAAACTAAAAAACTGCCATAGCTATGATGAGCCGTAAAGAGCACCCATTTTATTTTGTTGCGTGACGTAACATGAAAAGTTTCAGTTGGCGTGATTTGAAAGTTCGTTTTTACTTGAGAGCGATTTAAAGATTCTCCCCCTTTTGTGAATCGTTTAACAGGGAGTAGATTTGATTAAGACCATAAATATCGTTTTCCAAGGCATTTGAAAACTGCTAACTTCACGATATCTATAAGTAAACAATAAGTAAACAGATTTTCTGGTGACTGTTGCCATTTTAAATTCTTAAGCATATTCTTTAGAAGCAATACTTATTGCGAAATTTCTCAAATTACTGCAATGTGTTGGAGATATATATATGTAAGATTAATCAACTTTATGGTTTAATTTAGTAACAGTTTCTTAATTCTTCATTTATAATTTGGGTAATTCTTCTCGGGATTCTAAAATCAATAATAACCTTTCTGGATTGCGCCATTTCTGCATTAGTCTATGTCACATGGCTTGCGTAACGCTGATGACGTACTAAATCGCAAATTGAACTTAAAATTTTGAGACATGAAACCTTTCTAACCTAAACCAAAGTCTCTTGGTAAGTCTCCAGATAATAAATAATTGATAATATGATAATTGCGCAATTAAGTGATTGCGTGCAAAAGTGCGCAATTATATGATAATAGCGCACTTTTGCTCCTGCCTCTGTGCTGCTATTTCATTCTGCTCGCTTTCCGTCCAAAGATGTAAATATTCTGAAAACAGACATGATTATAGTGCCAAGTGAATTGTGGCCACTAATGTCAACTAAAATAAAAAGGAATATTTAACTTTACTCGACTGCCAAATTTCCTAGTGATTCTGGATTCAACGTTTTAGCATTCTACGCAATCAGAATTCTTCCTCTTGAATATGGATCTACGTTCTAAAGGGGCTGGGAATTACATTTTTCATCAGGACCCTGCATTCTGTCATACAGCGAATAATACAGCGGTAAGTATGATCTAATTTATTTATGCAAGATTTTCGTCTGCTTACGGATTTCCATCTCCACAACATAACGGATTGTCTGACAAAATTTGGTATGAAAATTTTGAACTGGCCATGGAATGGTCCTGATCTGAATCCCATTAAAATTTATTGGCATATAACGGATACAAAAATTGCTGCTTAGGAAGCCGCTACTATGATTAAACTGCATAAAAGCATTATTAGGGCTTGGATCCATGAAACCGGCCTAGATTACATTCAGAAGTTGCTATCTTCTACGCCTGACAGCTGCAAGACTGTCATCGCAGGTGGTGGAGGATTTATTAAACATTCAAGTTGTCCTTATGCGTGTATATGTTACCGTGAAAGACTTAAATTGGAGAATGTCAACTTTCACCGGAAAATGTCAACATTCACCAATTACGTCACTCAGGATTACGTCATTCAAAACTGGATTGCTCTAGGTACCGTTATGATAACATAGGGGTCTTCAAGCTTTCACGCCCGAGAGCTACATCAATAAATTCACAAAGATCCGCGGGCCACATGTCTGTCAAAAAAATAGTGTAGTCAGAAAATTTATATAAAAAAAGGAGGTTTGTTTTGCAAGACTACAATTGATTTTAAGCGAAGAGATAGTGTTACAGATTTGTATATGTATATGTTACCGTGAAAGACCGAAATTGGAGAATGTCGACTTTCACCGGAGAATATCAACATTCACCAAATACGTCGGTGAAAGATCGAATATTGCATTACATTCTTGTACATTCGGACCCTCACCGGTGTATGTCGACAATCACAGATATGGATATGCTATAGTGTAGGTCGAAAAGAGAGGTCATAAAGTGTCATAATAGTTTAAGTTGTTGAAATAGATAAGATTTGAATCACATAATTTTAGTAAGTTTTTCATTTTCTTATTTAGAACGTACTGCATAATTAAGTAAGTTTTTAACTTCT